TTTACTTTTCAATCTACTTCTAAAAGGAGAAAAAAAAGTTTATTTTTCCTTTTTAAAGATCTCTCCCAAACAAACGTGATATTCAAATTATATTAGCCATCAGTCAAAATTATTCGGATAAATCATTAACATTATCCTCTACCAACTACAAAGCAATGTTGGAAATATTTCACCAATTCCTTCGCACCAACACGTATGCGTACATATTGGGTGGATTCTCGTTTGAAATTGTAGTTTGGAGAAGTGTAGCTGACCGTGCTCAACGAGAGCATGAGAGCCCGCTGTGCTTGATCTCTGCTATACGACAAGATACTGTTAGGTTGTTCGGAAATACTATCCAAATCGGATGGAACTAAATGCAGGTACGCGACCAATAAGGAAGGACAAATAAGGTCTGTGTAGAAAGTAACGCCGGCCGACAATTGAGACAACCGTTGAGGGCAATTTTGAAACTGTAAGAATATGATCAAGTTCCCGTGTTTGTTTGAGCCCCATTTTTGAATAGTGTATTGATGGAAAATGTGTGGTAAAAAAATAAGAAAATGTTTTGGGTTTACGTCTAATATTATTTTATTGAATAATATGTGGTAGAAATGAGGTCAAAACACTATTCAAAAAATGCATTTAAAAAAAAAAAATGGGACTCAAACATGGGCTTAGTATGATGAATTAGACATAATTGAATATACAACATTTTTGAACTATTCACATATCAGTACAACTATCTTTTGTCCAATTAATAATGCTTAATATTCATTGGACAATGTGACAGTGATTCATATGTTACATAAATCGACAATCATCATCAGATGAATAACATTATTTCCTATATTATGTACTCACTCCGTCTCATAAATATAAATTTGCACACACATATTAAGAAAACTTAATTAATATATGTTGAAATTATAAATTTTATTTACATTTTTCCTAATATACCTCTACATTCAACAATGATAACTCATATGTGTTAATAACAATGCACATTAAATAATAGTATATTAGAAAATTAAGACATTGGTTATACTTAATAAGAAAGGAACATATAATGTTGAAAAAAAGAAAAGTAAGCATATGATTTTGGGACGGAGGGAGTACAACCTTTACTAATTTAGCATAATCTTCTAATTAATAGGTGTCATAAATGATCCTTAATTATACAATTAAGATTACCCTCGAAATGCAATATGATCAAATTCAATAGGAACACAACTTTTCCATTAGTAAATTCTTAATGTTAAATAAATTCAATTGTTGAAATATTTATTTATTTCTTTAACTATTAACATTTGAAAGGTTGAAGTTCAATTTAGAACATTACTTTTAACTTGACGTCGTCACCTTGTATATTTTCTGTTGACCTTGATTTTCACACCTTTGACGTGATCAACAAATTTCGGGCCCACTTGCATCCATGTAAGTTTTTTCCTACACAATTGGACAAATGGTTAGTCACCCGTGGCCTTCCCGTGTTGTAGGGGATGCAGTCGCAAGCACTCCAACGATCAA